GTTTTGCTACCATCCTTTAATTGATCCTCTTCTATCCAGATGTTTGGCAGTCAACTAAAATATGCCATAGTGAGCAAAAAGCAAACTAAGAGGGCTAGAGTACCAGGAAATTATTTCTCTCAATATGGTCTTAAACTTTCTCCAGCTTCAATTTCAAGTTTGACATTATAATCATTGTTTCTGAAAAAAAAATGTGTGTTAATTGCAAATTATAAACTGCCCTTTGAATACTTGGAACTCCCCCATCCCCCGAAAAAGGAGGAAGGGGTGGATCAGATTAGGGGTCGTAGGGAATGGAGAAGACCATTTCAAAAGTGCCTATGTCATTGGCCTACATCTCCTCAGATTTCAGTGGTCCAAAATGTAAAATTTCCCTTGGGCTAGAGTAATCAGAAGCTGGGAGAGAAAATCAAGTAATACATTCTTTAGGAGAGTTTAAAAAAAAGGCATAGCTATCTGAAAATTTAGCACTTGGGAATGACTTTTAAATACAAGCAATAAAGTGAAGTCTCTGTGAAAGGCTTTAAAAACAGCTTGGTATTCTTTTGTACAGTTGAACAGAGAGTCCATCAGCATTTCAGAAATAAGTGGAGTAGCTCATTCCATTAGCCTCAAATTCCAGTCGTGACTTTGAAAGAGAAACTGAGAAAAGAACAGCAAAGCTTGTTATATCAAATGCTGTCTGGAGAGGATGGGGCCATTACAGGGATATTGGCAGAAATATAACCACAGAGGGCACCCCTGTCAATAAATCAAGTACCTATCAAGGGGTGAGATACAATAACAAGGTTTACCAAGGCCGGTCATTCTCAAATGCTTTTCTTTGGAGGCTGGGTCCTGGGTCTCAAGTACGTAATAGTGGTTTTCATCAATATGCCATAAAGTTTTGTCCAAGGGAAAATATTTTGTTTTTTCAAGTTTCTGATAGCACCTATCCTCTTCTACTAGAAGCATCTAGTCTACCTAATTACAATGTAACTAGTCCCTGGTTTCATCTCAAAGACCAATTTCAGTGTAAAGTATTTTGGTTTTTTTCCTAATCCCCCAGCAAACAGTGCTCTCCATTCCAAAATGGCCTTGTAGTTTTTGTAAACATATACATGTATGTGTAATAGTGTCCCTATATATGTACATACATGTGTGTATATGTATATATGGTGTCCCAAAAGTCTTAGTGCGGTTTTAAGCTATTAGAGCTAAAAACTGCACTAAAACTTTTGGGATACCCTATATATCTTTGTATGGATCTATTTATGTAATGTTGTTTCCCTTAGTGGAACACAAGCACTTCTCTGGCACCTAGAATAGCTCCTGACCCATAGCTTGTACTTAATAAGTGTTTATTGATTAATTGATAACTAATCATTATTACTTTACCCTTACTTTCTCTTTCAATAGAGAAACCCTTAGAAAAATAATTAACTATATCCCTGCTCCGAGAAAGTCTGAATGCACAGTTCTAGTTAAGTTGGTGCTAAGAGATAAGTAAGAGAGATTGGTGTCTTGTCATGATGGAGCAGGTTGCAAGGGAGTGATTGTTTAGGAGTCATAATGGATAAACTATGTGTATGTATGTATGTATGTGTATGTGTATATATATATATATATATACATATATATATAATATTATATATACATATGTGTATATATATATACATATATATATATATACACACACACACACATATAATTTGAGTTGTTGTTAGCCCTTCATAGTGTAGATACATCTTCTTAAAATGAATTTCTAGGACAACAGATACACATGACTGGAATATAAAAAAAAACCTAAAGTACATTCTCAAAATCAAAGGCAATTTCTGCATTATCTACTATTTTGGATTATCCCAACTCCGCCACCTCCCCAGCTGTGTAAAACTGAGAATTGGACAATACTGTCAAGGAAGAATGAACAAAATTAGAGTTGGTCTCTTCTACCCTTTCAACCAGTAAGTCCAGCGGCTCTGTGAAATCAATGCAGACAGACCACAGTGATGTGCTAGGAAAGAGGAAATCACACACTATGACTGAGACAACCCCTGCATCTATTTATCAGGCCCACCTTGACTTGGGAGGCAGACACTCTAATCAACTGGTTTGCTGTTGGCAAGGCATACAGTTGCACAGTAATTGATAACCAATATTTTCATAAAGATACAGGGGGAGAAATTCTAACTTCCTATTATTCCTGGAAAGTCCTACTAAGTCGGCATCTGCTCCTGTTTCTTGCCAGTGTTGCCCTCAAACCAGTTTTCCCCATGGATTGTTGAAACAAGAGTTTCCAGTTCCTCTCTAGTACCTGATTGAACCTGCTCTTTGTGATGCTCATGGACATAATTCAGGATTTCAGGGCCCAAGACAGCAAGCATTACAACCATTTTCCTCTAGAGCAACAGACAAGACCAGTCATACACATCCAGAGTAAATAGTCATCTATGCTGGCTAGAGTGATTTTAAGGTTTTTTGGAATGCCTTACTTTCTTTCCTTGCCCAGTCCCTGAAACTAAATACCTTCCTACTGACTAAAGACTAAAAATACATGCCTAAAGCCTCTTCTTTTGCATTTACAAAATATATTTATAGATTTTTTTTTAATGAAACACTTCCCTATGAACATAAACCCTGACATGGTACATTTCCCCCATTTTTTTATTGCTATGGTCAAAGACCTTGATCCCTGTAAATATGAAAATACCTGTTTAAAGGGTCAACCCTTGACATTGTTACCAGTTCTTTAGTCAAATTTATGTGAATGAGTTTAATCTCCTTTCAAAAGAGGTAGTTTTGACAAAGAGCAAGACATTTTGAGACCAGTGAGCCAAGAAGGAAGAGGACCATTAGTCAGAGGAAAGGTAATCAGAGAAGACAGGGGAAGAAAACTGATGGAGCCAAAGGATAAGGAAGACCAAAGCAAAAGGTAAATTGTGGCAAAGATAGAGGAAAAGTGGACTATCAGACAATGGTGTAGCCAGGAAGCCCTAGATTTCCAAAGTCAACACTAAGGTTAGCATGGAAGAGTCCATGATGAAATATAGATGTTTTGTTGACTGCTGATCATTCTAGATGTTGATTCTAGAGCCATAAAGCTGTTGAGTCCATTTCAAAGTTAATAGAGGCTGAAGAAATATAGAAAAAAGCATGGATAAGGATGTCACAGTGCCATAGTTCCTTATGGGTCTTTCTCTTACTCATACCATGACTTAGTGAGAAGTCAACACTCTTTATGAAAGGTAGTGCAAGGAATCCTTGATTGGCCCAGTCCTGTCTTTCTTCCTGCTAGATCCTGCTGACTGAGGAAGCGTAAGACTGGTGGCATTATCAAGGCAGTGACTTTCATAGCAACAGCCTTAGAAATTATAGCAGTAGAGGATGTAGACTAGGTAGAGATGAGATTGGTTTGGGGAGAGACAATTATAATACCGTCAAAGTCTAACTTGCAGATCTTAATAGATCTTGACTTATTACACGTGACTGATTACTAGAAAGTTAGGCAGTCTTTAAGAGTAAATCCATTTATCTCCCAGCTTGATAAAGTTAGATCACTATTGGGAAGTCAATTTCTGTTTAAATTTTGATAGAAAATAAAATGTATAGAAATAGAAACTTAATCTTAGAAATTACTTCTCCTTGAAGGTAAAAACAAAGGTATGTCCCATTCACTGGATTAAGTTACTTTAATGCACTTTAGAGGATGAGGATGAATCTAAATATTTTGATATTTATGCAGCTAATTTAATGATAAAATTTGTTCATTTAATTGCATTTAACCCACATTTTAATTCAGTGGCAATAATTTTATTTTTTTTCTTCTTTGTGTCAAAACCTATTGTTTCTAATTATAAATAAGGAATTGAGAACTGATTAAAAGAGATAAGAAAAACCCTAAAGTAAATGCAGAAACTTAGGTTGGTTTGGTCTCTCCCTCCTCCTCAAGAGGAAACTTGAGCTTTAAACACTTGTGGAGTTAAAAGTTGGGTTCATTGAAATATCATAAGCTCCTAATGATTCGATTCAGCAAATATTTTTAAATGCATTTTTATCATGATACAGGAAAAAGGAATGTTTTACAAATCATCAAGCATTGTAATTAGCAAGTTTGGGTTTCGTTACTTCTCTGCCTCTGTTTTTGTTGTGAAATGATCCATGGCTCTGAGAAAATTGCCTAGGAAAGTCATTTAATTATAGAATAGAATTTTATGAAATATTTTTTATAAATATTTAAGACTTCTATGGCAGTCTCTATCTTATATCATTTATAACCATGATTCACTTTTGGTCCTTATTTATGAATCTTATTTACCCTGATGTAGGTAGATTTTTCTTCTCTGAATACTATTGGTCCAATGTCCAAAATGTTTTAATAGATATATAATATTTTTAAAAATTAAAAAGGAAACATTGTTTTATTATTTATATGCAATGTAATGTCAACATTGTTATATCCAATGGAGTATTTTTATAAGATGCTTAAGTAAAAAGTAAATCACTGATGAATTACGATAAGGGAAACAAGCACATTTTTTTTTCCTAAATGGTGGGGGCAATGGAAGAATTTCATCCAAAATAATAACATCTTCCTTATACAAGAGGGACAGATCACAAATAATTGTTTATAGCTTCTCAAATAATTCAAATAATGCAATCTGTGGACCTAAATGTGAAATTAATTGGAAACTGTGGATCTAATACATTGTTTTGGCGATTAAACACATTAGATTGAATTGTTTCAGAATCAGAATGCCTAATTATTGTGTCTACCACATTCATCTGGTTGAGTCATTCCTCGCTTTTGGACTGCTGCCTGGATTGTTTCTGCAATACGTATTTCAATTGCTTATCCCTTTTTTTTCATGCAAAAGTTTGTGAAATGAGGCATTTTCCCTATACTGTTTTACTGCCTTCATCTAGAATTGAGAATATTCCAGTTTAGAAGGTAATGATTTTAGAAGTGTTGGTTCCAGCGAGGTTGGATGAAAACTGACATTTGATTTGTATTTTATCAGGTTCATGATTAAAAAGTGCCTTTGTGAAGTCACTTTTACCGGAAACGACTATTCTACGCACTTCTGTGTTTGCAGAGCTTGGTTTCTGCCTACTCTGAACACCTTGTCCTGACCTCATGTGTGGCAGAGGATATCACGACTGTCTGAAATTGCTGCTTGTTTGACTTCAACATTAAAAAGGTGAAAGGAAAAAACAAAACCGCTAGAACATGAACAACTGACAAGGTTGTTTTCCAGTGTCACCAATCCAAGAAAGCAGCATTGGAAGAATTAACATTCTCTCGAGGAGTGTGATTGCCTTGGAGTCACTCTATAAAGAAACGGTGTCAAAGACAGGCGAGAGACTCAGACATTTTACAGCCAGAGATGCCACTGAGCATGTTTTCACTGCAGCCCACCTTCTTCAAGTGGGGCATATTGATTGATGAGTGACTGCTTGCTGATAAATTGTCTCTTCTCATTCTGCCTTGTGCATATTGGACTCCATTAATCAACTTGTTAGCTCTTCTAAGAGCTAGATGTGGTTGGCTTCTCAACAGTAGTTTTGTTTTGTTTTACTTTTTGAAACTGGTGGATACCAGACTGACATAATTCACTTAATAGCAACATCCAGAACCTAAATCTCTTTTTCATCATGGCTTTGAACGTTGCTCCTGTGAGAGACACAAAATGGCTGACACTGGAAGTGTGCAGACAGTTTCAGAGAGGAACTTGTTCACGCTCTGATGAAGAATGCAAATTTGCGCACCCCCCCAAAAGTTGCCAGGTTGAAAATGGCCGTGTAATTGCTTGCTTTGATTCCCTAAAGGTAAGGAAGTCGATCGGATGTACAAATCCAGTATTAACACCTTACTTGCAAAGCCTAACTTTAAGTTTCGTCTTAAAAATCCCCTTACATTTTATTCATAAGTTTAAAAATAGTTTTTGGAACACATTTCCACACATGTGGTATATATTAAGAGACTTCTACTCCTTTCTTTCCCCTTTATCAAGTGTGTACATATTATTTGCACATCTACATTTAAGCAAAGAATGTAAGATGGCTTAGTTTGGACATGTTCTTCATGGGTCCAGAAGTTTTCAAAGGGAGTCTGCTTTATCACAACAGAAGATAAATATCTTATTAAAACTTTATCTGCTCAAAGCTGAAAAAAGCAAACAAAATTAACTGTCGCATCTGTGTTCTGGTTTTGGCATCTCACCTCTTGGGGAGGCTTCTTCCACCGTCAGTTGCTTTTTGAGGAGCTCCTGGCTCCCTAAAGCAAACATAATAAGTTCTTCATTCTCCTGGTCGTTGGCCATGGCTGGTATAAATGGTGACGCATTATTTGGAGACAAAATGGCAAGACCCTATGATACTCCCATTCATTAGCTGAGAGATAGACTCCTAGCAGAGGATACCTTCAGGTCTCCCTCACCCTCCCAGTGTTAGCGTTCTGTTTGATAGTGTAGGATTAAGATCTGTTTTCTCTCCTCGGATTTTGTGTAGGAATGGGCTGAGGCACATGTGTTTGTGATACAGTAGAAAGAGTACTGGCTCTGGAGTCAAAGCTGATGCTTGTTGCCTATGTGATCTCCAGCGAGCCTTCATCTCCTTGGGTCTCAATTTCCTCACCTGTAAAATGAGGGAGTTTGACTAGGAAACCTTTGAGGTTACTTCTACCTCTAAACTTCTGATTCCCATCAAATGTTTCTGAGAGGGAACACCTAACAAAGACAGCAGAGTGTATGAAATGAATTATAATTATAGTATATAATTATATATGAAGATATATAATTATATGTTATATAATATATAATTCACAATTATATAGCACTTTAAGGTTTGCAAAGTACTTTCCTCGAAGCAACCTGGTGAGGTCTTTAGTACAAGTAGTATCACCCCATAATAAAAATAGCTTAGATTTATATAATACTTTATGGTTTGTGAGGTATTGTACATGGATCATCTCATTCGAGCCTTACAGTGGCCCTCTGCAGTTTCTGCGGCTCAAGGCATTATCCCCATTTAAAGATGAAGAAGCTGAGGCAGAGAGAATAAGTAACCTCACACTGTGAGAAGCTATATGATGTAATCTCAGATAGTGGAACTCTACTAAAACCACCACTTTTGTGGAAGAAAGATTCCTGTGTTTCATAGTTATGATTCTTTTACAGACGCAAATTAATGAGCAAAGCCAAGGAGCAAAGGACTTGTTTATTCCTCAGCTCCCCCACACCTCATTTCTTCTAGACATTTCTTCTGCACAGTTCCTTCAGCCGCTTATAGATCATATTTATGGAGAAAGTCCTTAAGAGTCCAAGAAATACCAGTAGTTTCAAAAGCTCCAGATAATTCAGACAGCCTTCTTCTGTAGGCAAGATTGAATCTGCTTGGGGCAGCTAGGTGGCGCAGTGGACAGAGCACTGGCCCTGGATTCAGGAGGACCTGAGTTCAAATCCGGCCTCAGACACATAACGCTTACTAGCTGTGTGACCCTGGGCATGTCACTTAACCCTGTTCCCTAACCAAAAAACAAAACAAAACAAAACAAAAAGATTGAATCTGCTAGCGAAGGCAACATAGAAAAAATACTAGAGAGTTTTTTCTCTTTAAATATATTTTAGGCTGCATCTTCCATGGAGTAATTGGAATTTCACTTCTCTATAGTCCAAATTCTAAGGTATGAAATATATAGCTCTTTGACAATGTCGCTGTGAGAGGTACCCTATAATTTGGATGATGGCAAGATGTTTGTCAAATTTAGTTTCTCTATTTCATATTTATGGACTTCAATTTCAAGATTAAAGACTTGTACAAATGTTCTAATGGAGACAGCTCATAAAATACTTCAATTAACATTATGAAGTTCAAATAGGCAACAGTGTGTATAAAGTCAGTTTGTCCTTCCTTTAATGTCCTCAAATTCCCACTTACCCTGAAATTGTGCAAACAGGAAGTTCAGATGTTGGTTACACCCATATGTCTAGTCTCTAGCTTGGTTATTTTATATGACTCAGCCAAAATGGCTAAGATCACTTATCCAATTAATTCTAAGAATCCTATTGCTTTTAGAGTATTTTCTGCAGATTTAGAATCAGAAAGGACCATGGAGTTCATCTAGTCCACTGCCTTCATTTTACAAATGTGGAAACAGAGGCCCAGAGCAGTTAAATGAGTTTCCCAAGATCACAAATGACAGCATCATGATATGAACCCTGTTCCTCCAGTTTCAAATCCAGCGTCCTTTGTGCTGTGCAATGCTCTTTCTTGTGTTCAGCAACTTAAGGACTTCGAAGTGTTCCCTCCCCCAAAAGTGTCACAGTAGAAGAGGCCACAAATAATCTGATTTTAATCCTAGAAAACAAGTAACAGAAAGGTAATCCCAAGTAATCCAGCAAACCCAAATAATATAGTAATACAGTAATATAACATGTTTATAATGAAAAAGAGAAAGTAAGGGGCAGGTAGGTGGCACAGTAGATAGATCTCTGGCCTTGGCGTCAGGAGGACCTGAGTTCAAATCCAGACTCAGACACATGACGCTAACTAGCTGTCTGACCGTGGGCAAGTCACTTAACCCCAATTGCTTCACCAGAAAAAAAAAAAAAAAGAAAAGAAAAGAAAAGAAAAGAAAAGAAAGAAAAGAAAGAAAAAGAAAAAGAGAAAAAGCAATAGATTATACCCAGCTTTCCACTGGTCTGATGCTTGCCATTTTCAGTCCATTCCCACAATAAGCCAAAACTAGTCCCATATGATTTTATCTCTTTTGTGCCCTTCTCTGTATTACTGCTGCTAACCAGGCACCAAAATAATCATTAATGTTCATGCAAAGTGAGAGATGGGTTGGTCAAAATAAGAACTTTTTTTAAATTGTTTTGTTTTGTTTTGGTTTTTTGGCTAGGCAGTGGGGTTAAGTGACTTGCCCAGGGTCACACAGCTAGAGAGTGTTATGTGTCTGAGGCTGGATTTGAACTCAGGTCCTCCTGACTCCAAGGCCAGTGCTCTATTTACTATACCACCTATCTGCCCCCCGGAACTTTTTTTTTTAAACTGGGCCAGCAAGATAAAAAAAAGTAATCCCAAATTAAAATTTTTGTTTGAAATGTGTACGACAGGCTATTTGTGTGAGGCTCTTAACTCTTTTAATCATCTGTTGTAATTTATTTTATCAGTATGTATAGTAGTACTGCACCTATGGCTTACTAGATCTGAACACAGAACTACTATCACTGGTGCAAGTTGAGTCTGTGTTTGAATGTACTTGAATGCATTTGAAATGCATACTTGGTTAAAGGACTTAATATAAAGCTTGTATGTTAGGGATCACTATACCCAAACAATAGTATACATTGATATAATGGCACATAAGCGTGTTCATTTCCTGTCTACCAATTTCCTCATTAGTCCTGAAACCCAATTCTTCTTGCCACAACCTTTGAAAAGAATCCCTCAGCCATCACCACCGATGACTTACTTGTTGCCAAATTCAAGGGCCTTACCTTCTATCTTTATTCTCTTTGACTCCTCATATTTAACATTGATAAGTAGCCCATGTTTCTTTTTTAAAATGTTATCGTTTTTCTATTAATAAGCAATTATGTTCTTTACCTCCCAAGTCCTCACTATGAAAACAAAAAAAAACCCTTTGTAACAAATGTATATAGTCAAGCAAAATAAATTTTCACGTTGGCCATGTCCAACAATGTATGTCTCATTCTTCATCTTGTCTTCATGGAAACATACTATCCTGGTTTTCCTTTCTCTCCAGCCAAACATTGCTAACTTCTTCTGATGACTCTTCTCTCTGCTCCTACTCTCAAACTGTGGGTACTTCCTATGACTCAGTTATTAGCCCCTGACTTTCTCACTCTAAACTCATTCTCTTGATCAGTTTCTCTTTTAACATGAGTTAAAATACTGCCTCTACACTGATGACTGGACAATCTGTATCTCTAGGCCTGTCCTTTCTAGGTCCTTCCTCTCCATTGCTGAATTTATAACTGAACATTAGAAGTCTCCATTTCTGCCCATTACTCTGTCACTTCAAACTCAATATGGCCAAATCCACATTAATCAGCTTCCTTTCAAACCAAACCAACTGTCCTGTATTCACCAAAGTGTCATTATTATGATTAACATTATCATTATTGATATTATTAATAATAATGTATTTATAGAACACTTAAGCATTTTTAATTTTGATTATTATTCATCTAACAAATATTAACAATTAAGAGCATTCTCTGTATACATAGAATGGGACCATGCATGATTCTCTTAATCACAAGGTGTTTCACATGTGGTTTATTAGATTTTCTCTCATGAGCAGAGCTCAATAATTTCAAATTGGTTAAAGACTTATCCATACATAGCTGATTTTTGTTTAAATCAATTGAATCCAGGAATTTGGGGCTTCTGTGATTAATTGGGGTGGGTGCAGAATCCCACCTCTACATAATTAAGAGTAACAGCTACCAGAGTGAGCTGAAGGAGCTGGCATCTGTCTTATTGCTTAGTTTAACCTAAAAGTGACTTCATCACTGAGATCTGCTGCTTTCTATGTGTGTTAAATTTGCCTGCTGTTGTTAAATATTATTTTAACATAAAAGGATCAATAAATAATTTAGAGAACAAAACGGGAAGGGAATGTATTTACCCAAGCACTAATGGGTCAAAACATCTTTTTCTTTTACTTTTAAATTTTATTAAAGTCAATATTTAGTATATGTTTTCAACAATTCAATGATTACTTATTGAATACCTTGGGATACAGTATCAGATTGGGCAGGAACTTTTTGTTTGATTAGAATGTAAATTCCGTGATA